ATCATCCCCATCCTCCTCCTCCTTCTCCTCCTTCTTCTCCCCCGCCTTCACCTCCTCCTCCTCCCGCTCCTCCTTCTCATCCTCCTCCTCCTCCTTGTCCTCGTGGTCGTCGTCCTCCTCCTCCTCCTCGTCCTCGTGGTCGTCGTCCTCCTCCTCCTCCTCCTCACCCCTCTCATCCCTCATCCTGCTCTCTTCTTTCCGAAAGGGCGCTCAAAGACGAGGTGGGGTCTGAGCGTCTGAGCGCGTGGGACTGGCCGTCCCCATGACAACAACCGCTTGGGACAACCGTTTGGCATCGTGATGCGGCAGGGTGTAGAGCCGTCCAGGGTGGCGAGCTCAAGGAGTTCACACCGCGAAACCTAGGCGCGAACTGGTGTCGGTCCGCGCCTCCTCCTCCTCCTTCTCCTCCTCCTCCTCTTTCTTCTCCTCCTCCTCCTCCTGCTCGTCCTCCTCTCCTTTCCCCTCTTGCACCCCTCAGATTCAAAAGCCCCACGTCCTCGCGTCGCGAAACAAAAATCACGACGTTATGGTTGCTGTTGTGGATCTCTACGGGCCCTCCAAGGCCCCTGGACCGTCAAACAACAACTCGGGATGCAAGGCCAGTCCCGGGGAAGGGGTCCAGACCTCTGGTGGTCCAAGCCGTAAGCAACTCGCGGCTGCGGAGTTCTGGGCACTTCGCTTTCCACTCCACCCGTCTCCCTGTATGTGTATCACCCTTCCCCCTCCACCGCATGCCGCGCTGGAGATGGGCGACGGTCGCCTGCGAGCTGCTCGGAGTAAATATGAATCAATTCGCTCGCTCAGAAGCTGCCCTCGGAAACTGCGGAAGGTGCACTCACCATCGCACTTGCTCGTTCAACAGGTTGCTGTTAAGCGACCGGCAAGAAGCTCCAGCCAGAGGAGATCATATAGTCAATCATTCGTCTGGACATTGACTCGTTGACGTGTTTGCGCTGGAGGAGCTGCTCAGAGTAACTATGAAACAATTTGCTCGCTCAGAGGCTGACCTCGGAAACGGCGGAAGATACACTCATCACCGCATTTGCTCATCCAGTGGGGTGCCGTTAAGCGTTCGCCACGATAATCCAGCCACGAGAGGCAGTATTACGAACTTGCTCTCCTGACTGGGTGGTGTGAGACACACGGCAAGAAGTCCCAACCATATGAAACATGCCCCGTGCCCTCTTGCACGCTCAAAGTGATTATGACACAATTCGATCGCTCAGAGGCTGACCTCGGAAACGGCGGAAGATGCACTCATCATCGCATTTGCTCTTCCGACAGGGGGCTATCAACATGGCAAGAAACTCTGGCCAGAGGAGATGGCACTATCCAGAACTCGTCCAGACATGGACTCGTTGACGTGTTTGCGCTGGGACAGAGCTGCTCAGAGTAACTATGAAACACTTCGCTCGCTCAGAGGCTGATCTCGGAAACGGCGGAAGATGCACTCATCATCGCACTTGCTCTTCCGACACGGGGCTATCAGGCACATGGCAAGAAGCTCTGGCCAGAGGAGGTGCCATAACCCAGAACTCGTCTAGACATGGACTCGGTAACGAATTTGCGCTGGGACAGAGCTGCTCAGAGTAACTATGAAACAAATCGCTCGCTCAGCGGCTGACCTCGGAAACGGCGGAAGATGCACTCATCATCGCACTTGCTCTTCCGACACGGGGCTATCCGGCACATGGCAAGAAGCTCTGGCCAGAGGAGATGCCATTACCCACAACTCGTCTAGACATGGACTCGGTGACGAATTTGCGCTGGGACAGAGCTGCTCAGAGTAACTATGAAAAAAATCGCTCGCTCAGAGGCTGACCTCGGAAACGGCGGAAGATGCACTCATCATCGCACTTGCTCTTCCGACACGGGGCTATCAGGCACATGGTAAGAAGCTCTGGCCAGAGGAGATGCCATAACCCACCACTCGTCTAGACATGGACTCGTTGTCGTGTTTGCGCTGGGACAGAGCTGCTCAGAGTAACTATGAAACACTTCGCTCGCTCAGAGGCTGACCTCGGAAACGGCGGAAGATGCACTCATCATCGCACTTGCTCTTCCGACACGGGGCTATCATGCACATGGCAAGAAGCTCTGGCCAGAGGAGACGCCATTACCCAGAACTCGTCTAGACATGGACTCGGTAACGAATTTGCGCTGGGACAGAGCTGCTCAGAGTAACTATGAAACAAATCGCTCGCTCAGAGGCTGACCTCGGAAACGGCGGAAGATGCACTCATCATCGCACTTGCTCTTCCGACACGGGGCTATCAGGCACATGGCAAGACGCTCTGGCCAGAGGAGGTGCCATAACCCACCACTCGTCTAGACATGGACTCGGTAACGAATTTGCGCTGGGACAGAGCTGCTCAGAGTAACTATGAAACAAATCGCTCGCTCAGCGGCTGACCTCGGAAACGGCGGAAGATGCACTCATCATCGCACTTGCTCTTCCGACACGGGGCTATCCGGCACATGGCAAGAAGCTCTGGCCAGAGGAGATGCCATTATCCACAACTCGTCGAGACATGGACTCGGTGACGAATTTGCGCTGGGACAGAGCTGCTCAGAGTAACTATGAAAAAAATCGCTCGCTCAGAGGCTGACCTCGGAAACGGCGGAAGATGCACTCATCATCGCACTTGCTCTTCCGACGCGGGGCTATCAGGCACATGGCAAGAAGCTCTGGCCAGAGGAGATGCCACAACCCACCGCTCGTCTAGACACTAATTCGTTGACTTAGTTACGCTGGAGCACACTGGTGACAGCATGGATGCCGCACAATGGTAACCAGCATCGGCACGCACCAAGGCTGGCGTGACATGTGGCGAGAGAGGTCACTGAGAAGGCCCCTGCTGACGCGCATGGCGAGGATGCGGAGGGCGGGAGGGCGATGGGAAGACTACGTGAGGGGGGGGTATGTTCAAGCGGCGCACCTGGGGGAAGACAGAAAGCACGGGCCTTCCCAGAAGCCTCAGAAGGCCTACGGCGTACGGCCTTCTGAGAAGCATTCTGGAACTTATCCAGGGCCACAGTGGGTTTCTCAAAGGCGCGAGGGCTTCTCTGAAGCCCCACCGCCTTCTGAGAAGGCCTGTCCCCTTTCACTTCCCCCATGGGCTTGCCGCCGAGACGACCAGGGGGGCCCAGGGAGAGGGGAGGGGCATGAAAGAAGGGATATGGTAGGATGTTGCTACGGCGGCGAGTCGGGGAGCGGTCAGCGCCGAGGAGGCCGACCACTGTAGGACAAACGGGCAACCAAATGGGCCCATGATGCGCACATGCCCCAAGGTGGATATCAACAGGGAGATGGATGAGGATAATACGAAGAACTTACGTTTTGGAGCACGGGGGAAACATTGGGTTTGATAGAGGACAGAAGAGTAACATGAACGACCATGATGAGACAGAGACGGGAGACATGGCAAGATGAAGACATGATGGGGGAAGGAACCAAAGACAAGCATAACGCTTCTTGGCAGACATCTATGCCTTGAAAAGCACCGGTCACCACTCAATCATGTAATCGTCCGGCCACGATTCGTTACCACGAAAACGAAGATGATGGGGATGACGACGACAACCATTGCGATGCTGACATTGTTTCTGCATCTTTCCATTCGCGGCCGATACATGAAACCAAGCCGTGCACTGGGGGCGCGGCGCTTCCCATTCTCTCGTCCTCGAGCTCCTCCTCCCCTCCTCGTTTCTGTCCTCCCTCCTGGTTTCTCTCTCCTCCCTCCCCCCCCGTACCACGCACGTCGAGCCTGTTCGACCCCCCTCCACACACCCCCTTCACCATTCACACCCTGCTGTTCCTCCCTCCTCGCCGTCGTCCTCCCCCTCTTCCCCAGCCGCCCCTCACTTCATCCTCCACATCCCCTGCCTCGACCACCTCCTTCTCGAGGCGAAGGGGGACATCGACACAAACACATTGCTTCGGAGGTCCGAGAGGATGTCCTGGATCGGCGCTGGACCCCTCCTCCCTGGCGCGCGGGGCGCGCCAGGGGAGGCCAGTGCGCCGTAGGCGCCCAGCGCCGACCCGAGAAGGCCGCGCGGACCTCCGAAAGGTTCGTTTCTGTGTGTATCTCTCCCCTGCCAGAGATGGGAGGGCTCGAGGCGGGGGAGGCGGAGTCGAGCCACGACCAGCATCTTCGAGCCGCCGCGGCCTCTCCGTCCCCCCCCCAACACTCCTCGTCGTCGTCCTCCGCCTCTGCCGCATCCTCCTCCCTCCGCCGCTCCGCGCTCGCTCCGCCCCCTCCGCCCGCCTCCCTGCTCCTGCCTTCCTGCCCTGCCCGCCTCGTCCGTGCTGCTGCTCCTGCGACCCCCCAATCACATCGGATCGGCTCGGCGTCCGCCTGGCAGGTTCCCGTGTGCCTCTGCGTCTGCCTCTCTCGATCTCAGGATTCATATAGAACTCCCTCTCTCTGTGGCTCTGTCCCTCTCTCTCTCTCTCTCTCTCTCTCTCTCTCTCTCTCTATATATATATATATACTAGAACCACGCGCGCGCTTCGCGCGCGCTTAGGCTCTGTCGAGTCACAGACCCAGGAATCGTTGTGAGAAGAAATTGGTGACGCGAAGCGTCGTGGGGGCGTCCTTGGACGTCTGGGGTCTCCTGGGGCCTCTTGAGGGGCCTCCTGGGGGCCTCCTGGCGGCCTCTTGGGGCGGAAGGCTCGAGCTTGCGGTTCGTGGTCCCCCTCTGGGCCCCCTCTTGGGCCCGTCTTGGGGCCCTCTTGGGCCATCTTGGGCGCCTCTTGGGCCGTCTTGGGGCCCTCTTGGGCTGTCCTGGGGCCCTCTGGGAAGCTTCTTGGGCCGTCTTGGGGCGGTCTTGGGCGCCTCTTGGGCCGTCCTGTAACGTCGGAAAGCCCAAAAGACAACTTTGTTGAAAATGTACGTTTTACGAAGGGAATGGGCCAATTTTTGCGTCTAGGGGCCCTCTTGGGACGCATGTTGGAGGCTTCTTGGGGCCTCTTGGGGGCGTCCTTGGACGTCTGGAGGCCATCTTCAGCATCTCGGAGCCCTCTTGGAGGCCTCTTGGAAGTTTCTTGGGCCGTCTTGGGCGCTCCTGGGGCCGTCTTGTCTGACCGGGGAGGCCTCCGGCAAGCCCCGACGAGCCTCCGGGCCCCCCGGAGCTCACATTTGTGGTCGAGGTCCCGGCCCCGGGCCCCCGGACCCGGTGCGCCGTTATATGTGTAAATATACATATCAACATCCACGATCCTATCCTTCTGCTTTCATCCTGAACCTGCGCCTTTTGTTCGCCCTCTTCCTCCTCCCCATGCCTCCTCTACTTTGTTTCCTGCCTGGTCCACCTTCCACATGCGTTCCCATCCGTCTTCTGCCACCCTGCCTCCTCAATGCTCCCTCCTCTCTTCCCCACCTCTCTCCACCTTCCTCCCTCGCTCATCCTCCTTACTTTCTTCGCCTCCCTTCTCCTTCCCCTCCAATTGCCGTTTTCCACCAGCTCTCCCGCTCCTCCTCACCATGCTCCCTCTCCTCCTGCCTTTTCTTCTCCTCCTCCTCCTCCTCCTCCTGCCTCCTCGCTTCAAATCCAAATTCCCCCTCCCTAGCATCCTCCCCCCCTCGCAATCGACTGCACGTCCCCCTCCTCTTACGCCAATTTCCCCATCTCATCCCTCCCACTCATCCGCTACTGCTTCCCTGCACAAGCACCCTGCACCCTGCCGATTCAACTGAGTCAGTAAGCTTCCCCTTCCTACCCCTTCCTCTTTCTCCTCCTCCTCCTCCGTCTTCTTCCCCCCCCCCCCCCCCCCTTCCACGCCCTTCCCCTCCCCCTCCATCTTCCCACCCACGTCCACCACCTTCACCAGTCCCTCCTCTTCCATTCTCACCATCTCCGCCCCGACCGCCCTAACGCCGCGAATCTTGGCATGGAAGGCGCGGGTCCCGAGACGACCAAGCCATTGACCCTGCCCCCCCCCCCCGATGACCGTCAGCTCCGCGAAATGGCTCATGGCGTCGACCACCTGCGTCGGGCACGCCGGGGTGGGGCGGGCGACGACGGAGGAAACAACTCGATGTTGTTTGCTCACGGACAATCGTGCTCCAGGTAACAGCCGATCTATCGTATGTAATGCTGGGTCCACGCAGTTTCCTACACTCGGTAGGGCCTGCCTGGGAATGCGTCGAGACGTCCAGGCTTGAATGCGGGGAAGCGTCGGGGAGGGGTAGATGTACCACAGCCTGCGTAAGCATGTTCTTTCGGATGCCCGCGCGGGTTCTTGGGGTTGGCGCTGGGCCCCCCTCTGGCGGCACCTCTGGCGCCGCCCCTGGCGCGCTCCGCGCACTAAGGGGGGTGGATCCAGCGCCGATCCAAGACATCCGCGCGGACCTCCGACTGCTTACGCTGATGCTGCTATTTGTTCGAAGGGAGCAGGAGGCAGGAGAGCGAGGAGGAGGAGCTCACGCGGTGAAGGCGCAACACCGCGGCTTATGTTCGTGCGACGTAAAAAGATGATGAGGCTGCTGCTGATGCTGATGACGATGATGCTAATGCTGCTGATGATGCTGATGTTGCTGATGAGGGCGACAATGATGATGATGATGATGATGATGATGACGACGATGATAATGATAGTGATATTGATAGTGATAGTGATAGTGATAGTGATGATGATGATGATGATGATGATGATGCTGATGATGATGATGATGATGAGGATGATGATGATACCGCCGTTCCCGCACCGAGGTGTGGCCCTCGAGAGAGCAGGCGGGAGGGGCCGTAGGCCCGAGAGGCGGAGGACGAGGAGGAGGAGCCCACGGTGCCCCCAGGACTTCGGAGGCCCCCATAGCCTCCAGAGCAAGCCTCACGAGGCCCCGAGGGTCCCGGGGCCTCCAGCATTGGGCAAAAAGCTGGGGGCACCTTGGGCCAGGAGCACCTGTAGCACCCCGACTCCAGCACCGCACGGCACACTGCCCGGGGCGGCCTCAGACCGAGGGATCTGGCTTGAGGCACTGACCACAACGCACGCACGAACAGACGAACGACGCGCGAGAACCGTCCCTGTAAGGGCACGGGCCAACTGGCGGCCCGCGCGGGGCTTTGGGGGCTCCTGCCCGGCGCTGTTGCTGTCCTGGCCAGAACGCACCCGTGGACGGGCCCCCAGGGTCGAGCTTCGGCCCGGGGCCAAGCAGAGAAACGGCCCCCCCCGCACACCAATGAAGGGGCCCCAGGACACACAAATAAATGCACACAAATAAAAGGATTCCCCATAATATCTTCCCATATCTTCTGGGGTTTTGTCTTCCCCCCCACTTCCCATATTTTCCCATATTTTCCTGGGAGTCGACGATTACTTGTGTCAGTGTGTTTCTTTCCCTCCTGAACCAAAGCTGCAGCGTCGTGCAGGCATCCGAGCGGACATTCTTCGCAACAGAAAAGTGCGGGCGTCCAGGTGTCCCGTACAGCCGGACCTGGGCGAGAATACCATCCTTCAAGAGCATGCGGCCCTCCGTTGGCCAAAACAAGCAGAAC